TGTGAGTCTCGGACCCGGTGGCTTAAACTCACTTCAGGTGTGTGTGCGTGCATGCCCAAGATCCCAAGAGGCGAATGGAGGAGAAGGGATTGCCGTGTGGCCATCCCCCCTGGGGGGTGGTTCTCCCCTTTCCGCCTTTCCCTCTCGAAAAAAAAAAAAAGAAAAGAAATAAAAAGAAACTCATGCTAACTCAACAGTGTTCAGGAAGAACAGAAGTAGGTTTTTTTGTTTTGTTTTTTTTTTGAGAGATTTTTACTGTAGGGCGCGTGCGCTCGCCAGACAGACAGAGAGAGACATAGAGACAGAAAGCGAGAAATCACCCCCCAGGGGGGATGGTCACGCCGCAATCCCTTCTCCTCCATTCTCCTCTCGGGATCTTGGGCACGCACGCACACGCGCCCGGCGTGAGTTTTAAGCCACCGGGTCCGGGACACGAACTGCAGTCCACTACGTGGGAGTCCACGACATAGCCATTATGCTAACTGCTGGTTCCCGGTATTTTTAATTTGGGAAGATCATCAGAGATGCCACCATGGAACCTCCCAGCTGATTCCTCCTGGATGTGAGCTACAGACTTCCCAATATCATCAGCCTTGGAAAAGATCCATTGACAGGTAGGAGCTTTATTTTGTAGATGGAAATAAAGGTTGTGGACAATCTGATGTAGGGAACTAACACCACCTTCTTTGCCAGGACCCGATATACCTGTAGATCTTAAATGACCCTTAAGGACACAGCCAGACTTTCTGTTTCAAGAGTATGGTGTTTGAGGAGTTTGCACAGAGTTTTTTTCTGTTTTGTTTTGTTTTGTTTTTCCCACTGCAGGTGATTGAGAGGGGCCCTAAGTGAAGTCTAGAAAGTGTAGGGCCAGACTGCAGGTCTCCCAGAGAGCAGCCCCATTTGTTCCCCTGATATGAGTCTGGTTTTTCTAAGTTGATGGACACCTGCACTGCTCCTAGATGCACACCTATTCACACATGGTTCTCATGTTTTCTCTCTTCAACACCAGAGTTGGATATTCCTGGGTAAATAAATTTAAGTTACTCTTTCATTTTTATCAATGTTATGCCATTATTTCAGCCAAGCATGTCCCTTGGGTATGTAGGACAAAGGTCTCTGAGTAAATGACAATGATTTTCCTACCCTGACCCCGATCATGAGCTTCCTATAAACTAGCATAAAACAATTTATACTTCTATAATGTAGCATCTCATGATGAATATTTTTGATGTATCTAGAGAGTGGTTGTACAAACAGATCTTCATAAAGTTCATGAAAATGCATATTAAGAAAAACTATAGATGGATTTCAATTTTTTGCACCAAAAAATAACTATTACTTAGTTCTATTTTCCATAAACTTTTAAGTCACCTTGTATTCATGATTCAGCATATTAGTAAACATGCATATTAATAAATATTATGCCATCTGCTAATAAGTTGATATTTGATAAAGCCAGCTGTTCACTGAATAGTGATACTGCACTGATATAATTATTTATATGACCAATAATGTGACAGATTTTCTACATTTTTTTACAAAGACACTCTTTTATGCTGCCTTTTGAAATAAAAGCATAAAATTTTAGAATAAATCCACTTAAACCTTGTTAATTGACAACTTCAATTAATTTTTTAATAAAAGGCAGTAAGACATGTCAGATTCCTTACTTGCTCTCCAAATAGGGGCAGCAACATTCATTCAACAGTTCTTTATTGAGCACCTACTGTGTGGCAACTTTTAATTTGGACCTGAAAGTATCCAGTCCCAGAAAACAGACCCCTCATTCTGCTCCTTCACTGACCCAGACATAGGTCTGATAGGGGCCATATAGTATCTGTCCCTACAAAATATATTTTTAATAAAAATAATACAAACAAACAAACAAAAATGGAAATAACAAGTGTTGCCAAGGATATAGAGTAACTGGAACCTTGATACATCGCTGATAGACATGTAAAATGGTGGATTCAGTATGGAGAGTGTGAAAAAACAGAATTATCATTTCATTGAGGAATTCCACATCTAGGAATGATACTTGAATATATACGGAAAGAAGTGAAAGGAAGGACTAGAATAGATATTTGTACATATACATTTGCAGCAGCATTATTTACAACTGCCAAAAGGTGAAAATAATCCAAGCTTCCATTAAGGGATAAATGGATAAACAAAATGTGGTGTCCGTGTGTGTGTGTGTGTGATCAAGCTTTAAAAAGGAAGTTGGTTCCAAAACCAACAAACAAACATGGTCTCGTTGTGATCCTGTTTCATCCTCCCAGCTGAGACTATAGACAAATGCCAGCACAGTCAGATTTTTAGTCAGAGTCTCACTATGTTGCCCAGGCCAGTCTCGCACTCATAAGCCTCCTTCCCCAGCTGCCTGGGTCACTGGGATTATAGGAGTACACTACCATGTTTGGCCTTTAGGTTGGACTGAAGATCAAACTCAGACCTCCCATGTGGTCTCAGCCTTCAGAGCACAGCATCTTAGCACCCACCATGTACCACTGTTGTGGAATTGAAAAGGAAATTTTGACAAAAGCTACAATATAGATAAGCCTGGAAGACATGCTATATGAAGTAAGCTAGATACCGAGGGCAATATGATAGGTAGTAGAAACTTCATAGAAAATGCAAAAACTGATATGGTGGTTAAGGCGATGGACTCTCACATGGCCAATTGCAGTTTGAGTCCCAGACTCAGTGGCTTGAAAATCATGTGAGACCCTATGTGTGCATGCCCCAAATGCTAACAGGAGGATGGAGAAGGGATTGTGGCATGGCCATACCCACGGGGGATGATTTCTCACTTTCCTTTTCTCTGTCTCTTCCTTTCTCCAGCAATCACACATGCCCCATGGCAAAAAATGAAAAAAACAAAGAAAAGTTTTAATTAATTTCAAGTTTATGGCACCAAAATAAATTTATACTGTATCCCACTTTTTTCAATTTAATTATTATTATCTATTTATTTTATTTATTTCATTTTCTTTTATACATTCAATCACATTATTATTTGGCTTACAAAATGGATATTTCAACAGGTGAATATTTCTCCCTAGTACAGTTGATAAAACTATAAAATATCTTCAACAGATAATACCACATTTCTTTGTGCCATTAATGCTTTGCCTATTTTTCTTCTAAATGTCCTTCCTCAGACTCTCCTCTTTCATACACACTATATCTGGTATTTACATCTATATACTGTTTCTATATCCTTTATTCAATTAGTTTCAGTCAGAGTGTAGTCATTTGGTATATATTAAGTGGGGACATCCAATGCCTCTCCTTTTTAGCCTGACTTGCTTCCCTCAGCAGTAAATCTTCCATATTCATCCACTTCCTGTCAAAAGCCAGGGTTTTGTTGTTTTTTTATGGCTGAATAGTATTCCATAGAGTATATGTGCCACAGTTTTTCTATCCATTCATCTGTTCATGGGCATTTGGGTTGTTTCCATGACTTAGCAATTGTGAATAGCGCCACAATAAACATCAATGTGCAAGCACTTTTCCGATTAAGTATTCTTCTGTCCTTTGGGTAGATACCAAGGAGTGGGATTACTGGATCATATGGTAGTTCTATTTGTAGATTTTTGAGGAATCTCCAAATTGTTCTCCATAGTGGCTGGATCAATTTACATTCCCACCAGCAATGTAAGAGAGTTCCCCTTGAAGCTTTTTGGAGGACCCTGGTATTGTATTGTATCAAGGTATTGTATGATTCCACTTCTATGAGGTTCCTAGAATAGACATATTCATAGAGATAAAAAGTAGAATTGTGGTTGCTGATGTCTGGGTTAGGAAAAAAACCCAGAGAACTAGTGTTTAATGTATGAAAATTGCATTTGCAACCTTTTTTGTCACATCCAGTGAACCGTTATGAGGTCGTTAAAAAATGCTCAGATTGCAAATGACTACGTTAAAGACTGCCTGCTGATCCCAATCAAAGAAACAACCTGCTATAATTTTAAGAGCAGTTTTGCCGAGCACTTACAATGAAATTGCCTGCCATAATATGAAGACTAGCTGTTACCGCTACTCACCAATCAAAATTTACAAGCTATGCAAGGTGCTACCCAGTGCCAATAATCCCTCTTTCAAAATAGCTTATGGTCTTCTCTTTTCTGAAACGCTAATCTGCCTTTGTTTCTTTCTTTCTTTTTTTTGTTTTTGAGAGGTTTTTGTGATAGGGCGAATGCGCTTGCCAGGCAGAGAGAAGACAGAGAGACAGAAAGCAAGAAATCACCCCACCCCTGGGGGGGGGGGGGATGGCCACGCCGCAATCCCTTCTCCTCCATTCTCCTCTCGGGATCTTGAGCACGCATGCACACATGCCCGGCGTGAGTTTTAAGCCACCGGGTCCAGGATGTGAACTGCGGTCAACTACAGTTGTCCAGTGACATAGCCATTACACTAACTGCTGGTCCCCTGCCTTTGTTTTTTGTACATACTGGATGCTGACCTTTGTTCGTGTTCCAGGATTTGGGGAATACATTTCCAAGCATATGTAACTTCCTTTTTTTATAGAGAGAGTTTTTTTGGTTGCTTGTTTGTGCGTATGCATGTGTGTTTTGCTATCTAATTAAACTTATTTATTTACAGTCATTCACTGTACATCAGTACAATACAAAATGAGATTTTTGAACCAATATATATTGTATTTTGGCTTAATCAAGGATATAACCATACATGTTATCATCAACAAATCATTTTCTATTTCTTGTTTCTTATATATTTTCTTGTCCCCCCATGATTCCCTGCCTCTCACCCGCTGCCAGTTCTCTCCCTTCTCCCACACTGTCTCTTGTATGTATTGTTGTTTTCCATGCCTTACTTTTTTCACATTTTGTTGATTCACTAAAGATCTTAATTAAAGACTTCCAATAGCAAGCACAGCTGATATATACATATTAATGAGCACATATCTGACTTTAGGTGTAAACCTCAGTGACTAAAGTGAATATACTGTAAAGTAGCACCTCACTGGGGCTAGATAGCTTACTGCAGTCATTAGATAGGTATTAATAGGTATATTTTAATACATTTTTTAATTTCAGAAAAAAAGCTTGGTTTTTGTTTTGTTTTGTTTTGTTTCCTTTTTTTTGGGGGGGGGGAGAGGTTTTTGCTATAGGGCGCATGCACTCGCCAGACAGACAGGGAGAGACAGAGAGACAGAAAGCAAGAAATCATCCCCCAGAGGGGATGGCCACGCTGCAATCCCTTCTCCTCCATTCTCCTCTCAGGATCTTGGGCACACATGCACACGTGCCTGGCTTGAGTTTAAGCCACCAGGTCCGGGATTTGAACCACGGTCAACTATGCGGGAGTCCAGCAACATAGCCATTACACTAACTGCTGGCCCCAAAAGTTTAGTTTTAATAGGTCAAAATCAAAAAATGTTGAGATAACTGCTTTAAAAAAAAAAAAACTCTATGGAATACTACTCAGCCATAAAAAAATAACAAGACCCTGGAATTTGATAGAAAACGGTCAGATATGGAGGG